CCTAGCACATGCAGTTTCGATTCAAGCTGAATCTTTTCGTATTTTATCAAATGTTTTGCCATCATGTGTAATTATTTTATAAGATTCTCATTAAAACAAAACAGCAATAAAATCTCAATCAAGTCATGCTGCAAAAAGATTATCAGCTTGAAAATAAGAATCCTGCTTTTTTCTATATCTGTGCGAAGCTGAAGACCCTTTGTCTTAAAAAAATACTGCAAATTTTAAGCAGTAAATCTGACAGTGCTGCTAGACTGAACTGACAAAAAACAACCCAACCAGAGTCTAGAACGTGGCAGATTTTGAAAATGTGCCTTTTTTTTGTGCAAAAATAACTGTTAAGAAGAATAAAATAGGTTTTTAAGTAATTGCAGTATATTAAGCATTAATGCCAAACAAACACGACTAGTTTGAGGTAACTGAGTTTGTTACAATCTGCTCATTAAAATTTTTGAACCATCAGCTATCCTGGCTTTTTCCTGTGAAGGTTCATGTGAGGTTTGGAGCTTATTCTACTTTACTTCAGGAGAAAAGCGGGGAACACGTTTTCTCCACCCAGATAGCCTTTGAACCCAGAACCTTTTGCTTTTTCTGTCTGAGCTGATTAAAAGTACACAAAGTTACTTACTGACTGATCCTTTGTCCATGTTGGGGACAACTTAAAATTATGAGTAATTATAAACTTTTGTGTGAGTTGTAAATGCGTACAACTTCCCAGCTTTGCAGATGGCCATATGAATCCTGCTGCTGTCTGATTTAATAAACTTAGAGGAAAACCTTCTATAAACAGCTGGAAGCAACAAACTCAATATTTGGAGGTTTGTGTGCGAGCCACTGTCCGCTTAAGGCACAGTCATGTCTTTTGCGCTCTCTGGGATGTTTATGGACGTCTTGACAGACTGGCTGCTGCTGCACATTGCTGTTATGGTCGTCTAATGCTGATCACCTCGGCTCAGATCCTGTAGCTGCATTCTCTAAAGGTGGACATCAGAGTTTCAGTTACTGAATTACACCTGTCAGATCAGGCTTATGAATTCTGGCAAATCACAGAAGCCCTTTAAATCCACAGCCACTGCTACAGGCTGACCATTCTGTCTTCACACCATTATCGGTATCTGACTACCAATGTCATGTGTTGCTCTTCACGAAACACGTATGCATAGTCCTGACTGTAGAAGCGTGTACCTGGTCTGCACATTACCCTGCAGCTGCCAGCACCTGTACTCATTTGACTGTATGAATGAAGGTTCAGTGGAGCTGGATTCTGCAGTCGATCACATTTATATCTTCAGAAATGTAGCTATGCACCCTTTAAGATTTTACACATTAATACGTTCTCATTTCCCCACACTCATCACACACACAGGCAGCGCCGTATGCACCTCGCAGCACTTTTAGCTTTTATTGACAGGCAGATTGATTAGCGAGCAGCCGCTCTGCCCTGACCCATCTGTCATAATGTGGGAAAAATCCAGACACAAAAGTAGGGAGGCGATACTAATGAGTGACAGAGCAGGAGAGTGGCACCAGCACTGGTCTACTCCATCCCTCATCATCATCACAGAGGAGGAGTGTGTGTGTGTGAGGAACAGGGTTTGAGGGTAGAAAAACTGGGGATGGAGAGAGCTACCAGCAGTGACATACTTCATTAATCATAACTACAGTGTGTTGGTTATTAGAGACCAAAGGGAGAGGAAATGTGCTCAAAAAGACAGCTTACTGTGTTTTTATTCCTCTTCCTAACATCTAATTAGGCGGCATATCTGCTCTGGTCAATGGAGTAGTAAACACAGTTATTGATCCGATTATTTTTTTTGAATGGACATGAAACAAGCTTGAAATAAGCTTGAATACTTATTAAAACGATATTACTGTCAAGGGAATGTGTGTTAGAATATATAGCTAATGTCAGCTTCTTTTTTTTTTTCAAACTCCACGCCAGTCTAGTTGTAATGACGTTTCCATTTCTTATTTTTATCAGTGGTTCCTGAGATGAATTTATGTTGCTCGTAAGATGTTGCGTCCCACTGAGTGGTACATGGGTCTGTGATCGTGTTCATTCATTAAGGGACTGCTAGTTGATTAGAGAACTAGACGTGGCTTTGGAAATGATGTTTTGTTATATGTGTGAATGAATGCTTGTCTCTGTGGTGAATGCACTGTGCTCTTAATTACTGAGAGTGAATCTATTTCCTCATGTGGATACTCAGGGCCCCTAGTTTGTGTTCTTCCTAATTTGCTTTGTCTCATGTTTTTTAAAATGATGTGTCTCCATGTGTCAGTATGAGCTCCTCTGTATGGCAGCGTAAGATCTGACACTTCATAAATAGAGTGAAGAAAATCAGGAGGAAGAACTGTTGAACTGTCCAAGTATCAGGCACAGAATCCTACTCTGTGGAGCAACAACAACTATTAAAACAAATCAACTTTATTGTCATTTTGCTGTAAATGCACAGTAGTACAGGCAAGATGAGAGAGCGTTTCTTCAGGATCATTTAATTTGTACGTTTTGCAGAATGCACGTCTGGGATAAGACACTAGCTGTCGCTGTCTCCTGAAGGGGGCGCTGTGTCCATGCGCGCTGCCAACACGTTGAACATGGAGAACCTCTTCACACACACATGATGGTGTGATGATGGTGAAGCTACAGATGCTGCCCAGAGCCAACTGTCTGTCTGTCCGCCTGGAATAATGTCTCCTCCAGCTGTATGTCCGTCTGGCATGTTGTCATGGAGCCACGTTTCTGTTAAAGCAAACACACAGCAGTCTTTCCACTCTCTGCGGGTTTCTCCCAGTGAACGTAGCTCGTCCAGCTTGTTGTGGATGGAGCGGACATTGGAGAGTAGGAGGACGGTCCTGCTGGTCTGGAGGGGTTAGCCTTTAGCCTTTAGCATGGATCCTGCTGGTCTGGAGGGGTTAGCCTTTAGCCTTTAGCATGGATCCTGGCTCTCTTCCTCCTCCTTTGTTTACGTTTGTTTGTGCTTCCTTGTCTCTCGGGTAACTGCTGGCGTAGTCTCCAATCAGACTCCATGTTGGTGTAGTATGTCCACGTCACAACCGAGCACCGCAATTTTAGCAACGTTCATTCTCCTGATGTTCAGCAAAGTGTCTCAGCTGTAAGTTTTGCAGAATGAACGTCTGGGATAGACAAGACACTCAAAACGTTCACTTTCGTTGTCTC